GTGTGATTGAGCCCTCCCATGCTCCTAATAGAGTGACTTAAGATACACCATGCAGGTAAAGGTCAGGTGAATAAACGGGGAGAGATGCCACAGCAAAGAGAAACAGCTCACAGCAGCAGAGGAGGCCTGGGAAATCAGAAGAAATTAATTCTCCTAGAAACACAAAGGGCTCGTTTCTGATCAAAGTCAGCTCACTTTTGGACCATTAACAAAGACATTCACAACAGAGGTTCATGGCTCACACTTCAAAACAGCATGACTCTAGCTGCATTTGAAACTAGCATCTCTTGTCATGAAAGCCCTTTGGGTTTCTAGAGAAGAAGAAATGGATTTATTTTTCTAAGAACCTGCACAGGAGCTTGAACGTGTGTGGGTCACACTGTGCTCAGCATTCCACACCAACCTGCAAAGAAAGAAGCGCTCCGGGTGAGCCGGAGAGGTCCTCCTTCAGACAACCCCTGCAGCAGCTTGCCGCTGCACGCCTGCAGCAGACCTAGAGCAGAACACACAGAAGATGCAAGGCACACACACAAATAAACACAGGTTAAAGAGACCGCAAAACTAAACCCAAACACAACAAACAGAGCAAACCACGCCCCCAACTGTAGCACTCAGAAAGAAAATCTGTCTGTTCAGGCATCTCTTTTACCTAGATTACTTCCAGTACGACAAGGACCCAAACTGTTCTGATTTGTGTTCAGTTTTCCAGCCTGAGGATCTTGGTTGATGTATTCGAAGCTGTCCTGCAGGCTAAATCAAGATGGGAAGGGAGAGAGAAAAAACAAACAAAACATCAAGAAGTTACCAAATTTGCTTTTAAATAGATTCCTAATTACAGATAACAACCGATCAGTTACTCAAAATTTTTCCTTATAAATAGTTTCAACAACAACAACAACAACAATAATAAATAACAATCAAAAATTTTAAATGGTAAGTTGAGAGTAATCTGTTGTAAGAAAATAAAAATGTTTTGGAAGTGGCCAATCTACACATCTACCTATAGAGCTCTATTTGTAAGCACTGAGGAGTCTGAAATGAGACACCAGACTCTAACTGTGCCTCAATGACTGACATCTTCTGTACTACTATTCAGTTTTAAACTTTGCTTTAGAAACTGACACCTCAGATACTGCTATTCGCTTCAAGGGTTTTTTCAAAAACCACTCAAAATAAATTAATTTTAAGTTTTAGCTAATATCTGTTAGTAATTTAGCAATCTGTTTCAGGGGTAAGACATATCAGAAATTATGCTTCACTTTAAGAAAATAAGAATTACTCATAATAATGAGTTGAACAGATTTTAATTTGTTGTTTTAGCAAGGAGCTAAATATCAACATTCTGAAAAAAATCACAGAGTAAAAAAATAACTTTTACTTAAAAATGAACTCAATATTTTTTATAGTTAGTGGGATAAACAAACATTTAAATTATGCCAGAGACATCTAAAAAGAAAAGTATAAAAACAAGTATCAGTCAAGTATGGTAATGTATGTCTACAGTCCCAGTATTCACGAAGTAGAGGCAAAAGAATCTTGAGTTCCATGCCAGCCTGGGCTACAGGTACATAGATCATGTCTGAACAGCTGCCCTGCCCCCCAACCCGCCCCCAATCAGAAACAAACATCTCTCCTGTAACCTGACAAGGCTTCCAGTGGAGGGATTGGAACACCCACCCAGCCACAAAACCTTCAACCTACAATCTGTCCTGCCTGCAAGCTGTGCCAGGGTAAAGGTGGCACAAAAATTGTGGGAGTGGCCAATCAATGACTGGCCCACTACTGACACTGCCTCGAGGGCCAGGATCCAGAAGCTGGATAGCCCAGAGACCTAGGCTAGAACTAAACATGACTGGCCAGAAAATAAGTCAATGAAATGATTCCTAATGATATTCTGCTATACTCATGGATTGGTGTCTAGCCCAGTTGTCATCAGAGAGGCTTCACCTAGCAACTGACAGAACCAGATGAAAAGACCTGCAGCCAAACATTAGGCAAAACTCAGGGAATCCTGTGAAGTCGGGAGAGGAAGGACCATAGAAGCCAGAGGGATCAAGAACCCCACAAACCCATAGGACCAACTAAACTGGGCTCAGAGGGGCTCACAGAGACCGAGCTAACAATCAGGGAGCCTGCACGGGTCTGACCTAGGTCCTTACATATACATTATAGTTGTGTGGCTTGGTCTTCTTGTGGGATTGTGAGAGCAGGGGCTGTCTCTGACTCTTTTGCCTACTTTTGGGATCCTTTTCCTCCTATTGGGTTACTTCTTCTAACCTTAATATGAAGTGACTAGTCTTAATGCAACCTGATATGCCATATTTTGTTAATATCTCTGAGAGGCCTGCAATTTTCTGAAGGAAAATGAAGAGGGAGTAAATTAGAGGGAGAAAGGAGGAAAGGGGAGAGACTGGGAGGAAAGGAGGCTGGGAAAACTGTGGTCATGATATAATATATGAGTGAATATATAAATAAATAAATAAATAAATAAATAAGAAAAACATAAATTCCTATATTATCTTAACTCATGATGCTCCAAAGGTAAGTGTTTAAACTATCTTATGAAAGGTGGCCAAAGACTTACTTACCTAGTGGTCCTAAAATATGAGGTAAAATTATGTATCTTTATAGCCATTTAAGTATTATATTAAAAGTATAACAAGTTATTTTATGTAAAAAAATGTAAAATGAGCATGATAGCTCCTGTTTGGAATCCCAGCACTCAAGGTACTGAGCTAAGAGATCCATGACTTCAAGGCCATGCATGGTAGGCTACACAGTGAGTTTTGGCCACTCTGAGCCACACAGAATTCTAGGCTAGCTTGAACTATATGATGAGTTCAAGGCCAGCCTGGGCCTATGGTGTGAGACTCTGTATCCAAAAACAAATAAAGCCAAGTGGTGATGGCACATCTCTTTAATCCAAGCACTCCAGAGGCAGAGGCAGATGCAGGTAGATTTCTTTGAGTCCAAGGTCAGTCAGCCTGATCTACAGAGCTAGTTCCAGGACAGCCAGGGCTACACAGAAAGACCCTGTCTCAAAACACAACAACAAAAACAACAGTACACCAAGCATCTCTGCTTAAAAATTCAAAGTGCATAAAGAAATGTTCCTGAAAGGAGGGTAGACATTTCAGTATTCTAGTCATACAGAAGTATAGAAGGGAGGAGGGTGTGTATACACTAAGAACCCCACCACTTCAGGGTATGACTGAGGGGAAGGTACAGCCAGATGCATCTGCAAGTCCAGAGCAGAGAGTAAGTAGTAGACTAGATATGGTCAATATGGTCAGCGAGTGGACCAGGCCATGGAGGGAGGGGGGGAGATAGAGAGAGAGAATAAGTAACCAAAATACCAGGAATGTAAAAAGAATGTGAAACTATGGGGAGAAGCATCTGAGTGGAGAAGTGTAGGGTAATGGGGTGAGAAGAGCCAGGTCCTTGTGATCCTGAGGGAGCCTGGAGACCAGCATACATGTTGGTGTGCTAATGGTACCACAGATAGCCATTTGTCTCTTCCTTCTGATGGTGATAAGGAAATGGTTCCTTTGGTAGAGGGGAATGGCACCAGAATCAGGGGGGAGTGAAGTTTCCTTTGGACCCAGGAGGTATGGAGGGAACTGGACGGACATGGACGGATGCAACCAGGAGTGACAATAAAAAGACTGCATGGCCCACTACCTATCAGCCACAAAGGCTAAGCTAACTGCTCCAGACAGATGGCTTCCTGCCCCGCCGCCTGGAGAAACTATACACACATCACTGTTTCTACTGTAAATAAATAAAACTGAGAGCAGAGGCTCATGCCTGCAATCTTGGTATTCAGAAGGCTGAGATACAGAATTATTGTGAATCTGAGGAGAGGCTGGGCTAGACCCTGACTCCTCACCCTCCACCTACTTCCACCACCCCACCCCAAATCAAACCAAAGCAGTCCGATCCACTTTCCCAAGAATTAAAACTTGGTGACTGACAGTAGGAACAGAGAATAACAGATGGATACCCAAGGCAAAGGAGCCACCCATCAGCCTGGGGATAGAACAACTCAGACAGTTTTTGCCTGGCATACATGAACCCTGGATTCACTCTCTAGTACCCTACAAATGGGTAGGTGGCACACATCTGTTACTTCAGGACTTTTGGGGACATGCAGAAGGATCAGAAGTTCAAGGCCATCCTCAGACATAGCAAGTTCCAGCTGAGTTCACAGCTAGCCTAGGCTAATGAGACCTTTTCCCAAAAGCAGACAAGGTCATCTGTCTTTAGGGCCCTAGACTTCTAAAGTCTAAAAAAATGCTCACTTGCTGTTATTAGAAAATGACTAAGATCCTGTCATTAATCTGTACTTATCTTGCTTGCTATTCATTTAAAATATCTTACAATCTTCAAGAATTTTATCTAGAAACAGACACATAAAAACATAAGGGGTGCAAAATCCGCACTTACTTATTTGTACTTCCACAGAAGCTACCCATTCTAGCAGAAAACACTTTACTGATCATCAGCTGTGGAGGAGATCTAAAAAAAAAAAAATAAGAAGGAAGAGAAGTGCTTTTTATGTTAGGAAGTCAGTACCATCGTTCCAGTTCTTACAAATGGCACATGGGCAGCCTCACCGTATGTAGTGTATCTTCAGGGTGGAGCCTTTGTAACTCATTGCAACCGAGCCGAACATCATTTCCCCCAGCATGTTGACATCAGATGCTGGTCTCGTGTACTGCACACAAGAAAACAGTCCATGGAATGATGCAATAGAAAGCCCTGTCTCCCAATCTTTGGGTCTCTGGTTGAGTGGGCTGTCAGGACAGTATCCTAAAGCTAAAGATGGTCACCTTACAGTTATCATCTACACAGCGATCACCTGCCATGATTCACAAATTACTACTTTTACATTTTCTTTTTTATATGTAATATGCTCACATATCAAAGATTATCATCTCCATTTACAAAATCTAACTATGACGAAAACAGGAAAACTCTTCTTTGGATACTGGGTAGATCGTGAAAAGACACACGGTTTAGTGTTATTCAACTAAATAATCACTAGCTGTGACCATCTGAATGAGAGTGCTCCCCCTTAAACTCAGATGTCCTAACACTTGGTCACCAGTTGGTGTTTGGGTAGATTCGAGAGGTGTGGCCTTGTATGTCACTGGGGAAGGGCTTTGAGAGGTAAAGACTCCTGCCATTTCTAGTTTGTTCTCTGCTTCATGCTGGAGGTTCAAGATGTGAGACCCAGCTTCCAGTTCCTGCCACCATGTGTTTGGTCTGCCATCATAGAATCTGATCCTTTGGGACCATAAACCCAAATAAATTCTTTTGGTAAGTTATCTTGGTCTTGGTAAAGCCATGACCACAACAAAGAAAAGTGACTTACACTTCAAGCAGGACTATGTGAGGCTCTAAGAGATAAAGGTGGTCTTATTGCTCTAAGACTTTGTAAAAACATTTCAAAGACACTTCCAATTTCCAACCAGTCACTCATGCCTTTTTACCATCTTTTTATTTGAAGGATGGGGTGATAAATGCCAGCTTTTGACAGAGAAGCCTGGCTTTGCCTGATTGATCCTGTCTGCCCTAACAATGGCCTCCATTTCTATCTTCCTTCAAATCCTGTAGACACATTCTAGTTTGCTTTATCAAACCTATTTGATACTATTGCCTTCCTACTTGAATCTTCTTTCTCAAGTCACCCCTTGATTGTTTCCTGGAGGACACTCCACTCACTAGCATGTCCACCATTCTTTAAATGCTTCATTATTTACACAAGAAAATCCCCTCTGACTTATTTCTAGGTCAAGACCTCTCCTTCAGCTCTAAGCATCTTAAGACCAATGGTTCTCAATCTTCCTAATGCTGTGTGTGACCCTTTAATACAGTTCCTCATGTTATGGTGACCTCAACCATAAAATTATTTTCTTGCTACTTTATAACTGTAATTTTGCTACCATTATGAATTACAATGTCAGTATCTAATGTGCAAGATACAGAATATTTGACCCCTTGTAAGAACCACTCTCTTGGAGACTCTGCTCAGACATGCTGACACCCTTATGGACAAGATAAAGAAGAGTGAGAAACAAACTAATGGGCCACAGGCACATCAGCACAGCCAGGCCCTGAAAATGTCCTCTCAGCTCAGAGAAGAAAGGACTCTTCCTCCCTGTGCTTTCCTGAATCATTCCAGTGTTTTAAACACCAGTATATACACATTTATGTACACACACACACACACATACACACATACTCACTCCTTGCCTCTTCATAATGACAAAAGAGGATAGAGAAAGATAAACTTGTGGGTCCTGCTAATAAAGGGTGGAATCACCTCTGGCTACAGATCATATCAACTTCTTCCCACTTCAAACACAAGCCAACTGATTTCTCATAGTCCCTACTAATAAATTCCACCCACACTCTCCATTTTATAATCTGCCTTTTCTTGGAACAAAGACCATGTGCTAACTGGGATTCTCAACTAGCTTTGAGCCATATAACCTATGGGCAAATGCACCACATAGGTCTTAAAATTCAGGGCTTATTTGTCTGTGGCTGCTAGTATAATCTCCCTGACCTTGTTTTACCAGCAGCGGTAGAGATAAGATTCTGTTACAGGTTTAAAAATAAGAACAGGGGAATCTGGTTATTGTGGAACATGCCTGTAATCCTAGCACTAGGGAGACTGAGGCAGGAAGATATGACATCAGCACGGGTTACATGATCAGGTCCATACCGACTTTGGCTAGAGGGGTAGACTGGCTCAAAAATTGAAACAAGCCTGATGTGGTTCATACCTGTAATCCCAGAACTTGGGAGGGGAAGGTAAGAGGATCAGGTGTTCAAGGTGATTCTTGGCTACATAGCCATTCAGAGGCTATTTGCATCAGAAACAAAAACGATAACAACAAATCAAAACAAAAGCACCTCTCTCTTGAGATGTGAGTGCCCACATGTATAAGCTGTGCAGGCCCATGGCTGTTCTAGAGACAACAGGTCTTACTTGGTACTTTGGAAGCTGCTCCTTAGTGTGCTGTAAAGATCCTCCGAAGCTATGAGAAGAGCTGCTGCTGCTGACACTGCTGCTTTCCTGACAGCATCTGGCTGACATCTTAATAGGGACATCCTCTGTTTTCTGGGTTAAGAAAGGCAGGCAAGGGAAAGGGTCATCAAGTGTATCAGGCTTTATCAGCATGCTTTATCAAGTGGAAATTTGTCAAAACATTTAGGTGCCTGAATTGCAGTAAAACCAAAAGCTGTTTTTATTTTTTCTTTATAATATCAAAGGTATCATGCCTGGGAGTGTGGAATAATTGAGAAAAGGATACTACCCAGAAAATGGTGGTATATTTGTGTAGATTGAGACACGGAGATAGAGGATAGACATGTTACTCTCTTTAAATAATTCAAGTGTCAGTATCTACATTTAAATTTATACCATAAAGTCATAAACAAATACTGCTCCCTGTTGTGGTTTTTAGATTTCAGTACTATATAGTCATAATGCATGGAGCTCATTTATGGATGACCACATGAGGAGAATGATGACCAACATTCAAGACTTTACCAACTAAATGCCACTAAGAAAGAAACCTATTAGCCTGGACACGTGGACTTGTGTTTTTCATACTCTTTCTAGCATTCCTAGTGCAGCAGAAAAGAAAAGCACTAGGATGGAGCTGTGGGAGATGAGGGCTGAACCCTGGGCCAGAAGCTACCGTGAACCATGGAGCATGTGATGGCAACCTGGTCCTCAAATGTCAGAGGTAACAGGATTATCTACTCTATATTCCCTCGTGCTCACTTCTAAGTTTTACTGAGGGTGACCCTCACCCATCCCAGAATAGAACTCTCCCTACAGAAGCCTTCGTGAGAAACAACCTCGACTGGGCTTCCTTTGCCCTTCTGTTTCTTTTCTCTTTCTGTCTTTCTTCCTTCTTTCGTAGCGTTTGCTAGGGATCCCATGAATGCAATAGCAGCTTATCTAATCTCCAGTGTGACAGTCACACTAGTGACTTGCAGTCATGTGCGATTCAAACTCATAGTGCTTTGGGCTTATCAAGCGGATGTGGTTGAGGAGAGCTTGAATGTAAGGAGGAGGGGAATGTAAAGAAAACATGAGATGCTCGGTCCACAGCAGGCACTCCAGCAGTGATGGAATTTTAAGTTGTATAGGGTTAATCCTGAGCATCCTGCATTCTCTCAACAAGCTCTTTAGCTCCAGCTGTTACTTAATACCACTTAAGCCAGAGACAGCCTCCCAGAGGGCTCAAAGCTGGTGACAGGAAGTGCCACCGGACTGCAGCAGCATAGCACAAGGATCTGTAGTTGGAAACAGCACCTGGTACAGTAAGAAGGCTACCAACTGATTCTCCTATAGCCCACAGCTACAAAAATGGTTCTGAGCCTAAATTGCTTATTTAATTTACTGAGTACTTCAAAGAAAGCCTACATCAGTATTATCAAGTTATCCCTACTCAGGTATACTGACTCCAGGTCCCTATGAAGTCATTTCCCCCTCTGTCTTTGCCACCAGCAGCAGCTCCAGTGATGGAGTGAGAGTGCTCAGCTAAGCTATGTATCAGAAGCATTTGGAGAGAGCCATCTCCTTCCTGTCCAGCCAAGAATCAAGTGCTGGCTCACCTAAGCCTCTGATCCCAGTCTACCATTAAAGCAAACGCGAATCATCAGTGCTCCCTCAGCTTTCTCTTCCGCCCACCTAAAGCACCCAGCCACTAGTGTATGATTGGCCGATGGCTGTCTGGCAGAATTCAGTAAATACAGTGCTATCACCCCGCTAGACTGCCTTCAACCAAACATTTCCTTCCTGCAAACAAAGGTTCTTATCAGAATCTGGAAGACAAGGACCAGTGAGATGGCTCAGCAGGTAAAAGTACATGTCCCACAAGTCTTGTGACTGGGTTTGATCCCTGGGACTCACATAAAGGTGGAAGGAGAGACCAGTTCCACAAAGTTGTCTTCTGACTTCTGGACACAGGCAGTAGTAGGCATACTCCAACAAAATAATTTCTAACAAATCACAATGTGACTGGAAAACAGTCCACTGGTGTTCACTTACTTAATCACAAATTCTATAGACTATCAGAATTTGGTCAGTATGGGAAGCAAGTAATTAAACAAGAAAAGAGTAAGTATCAGTGGCTTTATTTAATTTGTAAGCATCTGAACAAATACTGAACTGAAGTAAATGGTCCAGCCATGGCGACAGATTAGAGGTATCTTGGAAGACCGGGAAGGGCAAAGTTCTGGTATTATTGCTATCTTTCCTAGTCTGGCTCAAAGGGGTCAAGATCTTTCCTGTCTTTAAGCCCCATCCCAAATTCCTCCCACCTCTCCACCATCCCCTTCCCTACAACAGAAACATTAATGACTGGTTCTTTGGGCAGAAGGGGTAAGATGACAGAGAACATTAGTATATTAAGGCTCTTCGGTGAGGAAGTTTTTTAATTTTGTTTGACCTTGTGCTACATAATATTTTTTATTTGCTTTAGTTTTTGAAACATGGCCTTACTACATAGCCCAGGCTACCCCTAAATCCCCCATCTTCCTGCCTCAGCCTATCTAGTGCTAATCCAGCACCAGCATGACCCACACTTGGCACCTTTTACATCTATGAAAAAAATCTGGACAGAAAATCTGGCAAATATGCTAGCACTTTATGAATCTCAGCAGCATATTTTCTTACTATGCTTGATGCTTACAAAATATAGGATTGTAATCCTACTAGATTACAATCGCCAGCAATGCATCTTTCTTGATATCAATGGTCCAATGTTGGCCTGCCATAATTGTTTCAGTTGTGTTGAAGACACAGGCCTGCCTGCCTGCTGGAGTGCTGCTCTGCTTGCTCCTTTTGCATCCCAGCAGGCAGGATCCAACAGATCAGCATTTCACACCTGAGCTGCCGCCTCCTCCATCTTCTGAACGGCTCTGGAATCAAACATGACTTGTCTGCCTCTCCTCTCACAGTCCTGGTACACTATCAGGCGAATGTCACTCAAGTCAAACTCCGAGCATGACCAACTGTGGATTCAAAAGAGAGAGAAGCTGAATTATCTGCAAGGCTTGGTGTGACCGTGGGCAAATAAATATAATTCCCAGCCAATGTGCTCAGAAATTGGCTGCGCAAATGCTCACAATTCTCATGCCAACGGTGGCAAGGCCGCCCTAATAATAATTCACTGGAGAGAAAGCACTGCCTTCCATAGTCAGTTTGGGTACAGATGGCAGAAAGAAGATGCAAGGACAAACACGAGAGGACTAAGTCGGATGCCTGGGTTCTGGGGAGAGCATGCCAGTTAAAGGAGCGCTTAGGCCTTGGGGGCAGCCACCCCCTCTCAGGTGGGACTGGCAGCAGTCCCACAGTGGAAGGTTATTACGTTACCCTAGCATATCTGGCTTATACAGAGGCTTTGAAACCAAATGCATTTGCTAACCATGATGATTAGCAAAAAGGGAAACACAGTTTGCTCTCAAGCAAAAGATGTTAAGAAAATGCAGGTTTATGCAGCAGTAAAGAATTCGATGGGAAAGCAGAAACTAGAGAACTATTTACAGAGTGTGCTTTCAGCACTCCTTTCAACACAAATGTACTCTGTACCGTATTAGAGGCTCTGTAGTAGGTGCAAGGAAATCAATAATTAATCAAACCGACTGGATGAAGTTCAAGGCTTAGTGGGGGATATTATTAACCTAATACTTATAAATAAATACATAACTACAAACTGTCTGAAGTTCAAAAGGAAAACTAAGGGCTACGATAAGAGTCTCAGAGGCTGGCATAGTGACTCACGTCTATACCTCAGCACTCTGGAGCCTGAACTAGGCAGAACTGCTGCAGAATTAGACCATCCTGGTTACACTGCAAGACCTAGTCTCCAAAACAGCAAGATTTAAGGAGAGAGGCACAGAAGTCACTGAGGACTTAAATCAACTTTTAAACCAGATGTGAAGAATGACCAGTTGACGTGAACACCACAAAGCAGCAGAGTGCAGCACAGGAAAGGGAGAGAAGGAAGGCAGGGAAAGCTGCCTCATAAGGTCGGGGAGTCGGGGCATGGGACTGAAGCAGGCCCAGACAGGATAAGCTCTAAACACAAAGAGCAGCCAAGGAAAGCAGATGGTTGATAAGATCAGATAGCTGACTGCCCTAAGAAAAGCAGACACGTGGGAGTGGAAGGCACGGGAGCCAGGCCCCTTACATTGCCTGCTAACGGCTGCAGTGACCAGAGCAGAGGTAGAGAAGAAACAGCTTAAAGCAGAATCTAAAAGACGTGCCTGAAGCAGAAAGCTGACAATTGTTCAGGCAGACTCTGCTATAGGATACAGGGAAGACACTGGGGGTGGGGGGGGAGTGGATAAAGGAGGGACAAATGAAAACCTTTACAGTAAACCGTGTAAATATAGTCAGGTACAGCTGGATTCAAACCCAGCTTCCCCCCTTCCATTTTGCCACTGGACTGATCAGTGTGTAACTGCTGACCTCACAAACTTGCTTTGTGGATTAAGTAAAATACGTAAAGGGCTTCACACAAGCTTGACATACATATAAGCTCCGAAATCTACGCGCTCCCTCCCGGGGGTGAAAAGGCCACAGTTTTTTATGAGAAGCTGGGTGCCTTTGGTCCTTCCCAGTTCAAGCAATGGCAGTTAATTTGAAACACATTCTCTGAGGGCAGCAGATTTGTTCTCTTAAACCTCAGCTCCAAAAAAAGAAAGAAAGAAAGAAAGAAAGAAAGAAAGAAAGAAAGAGAGAGAGAAAGAGAGAAAGAGAGAAAGAGAGAAAGAGAGAAAGAGAGAAAGAGAGAAAAGAAAGAAAGAAAAAGAAAAAAAAAAGTTCTGGTTGCCCCTTCTGTCACCAGTGTGCTTTCTACATTGTGCCTGGCATCCTTGCCCCTCTGACATGTAGCACAGTGGCAAAATTTATTTTGGAAACTATTTTCCTCTGCTCTTAAGACCAGAGGCAGTCAGTGTTCAACGTGCCCAAGTTGACAGGTGGGAGCCACCGCACACTTACAGCCCAGCCTATATATCAGGACCCCAGGAAGGACCAAGTTACTGTGGAGAAAAACTAAAGTGCAGTGCAATGAGAAGAGAAGAACCTGCTAGCACTCAGACCAGACATCCTATAGATGTCTGTCAAAACCAGGTCTGATGCCTAGGACCCACACTGCCAAATTTTAAATGTATACAAGGCTATTAAAACTCTGGCAGGATGTGGTAGCATATGCCTTTGAGGCTGGTAGATCTCTGTGAGTTCCAGGCCATCTTGGTCTACACAGTGACCTCCATGACAGCCAGGGCTAAATAATAGAGAGACCTTGTCTCAAAAGCAAAACAAAACAAACCCAAAACAGCTACGACAAAACCTCCCACTGAAATGTATGTTTAAGCCATAAAGGCTGGGGAGCTGGAGAGATGGCTCAGTGGTTACAAGCACTGACTGCTCTTAGGTCCCGAGTTCAATTCCCAGCAACCACATGGTGGCTCACAACTATCTATAATGGGTCTGATGCCCTCTTCTGGAGTGTTTTAAGAGAGCAACAGTGTACCCACATACAAATAAATAAATAAATAAATAAATAAATAAATAAATAAATCTTGAAGAAGGGGGAGGAAGAAGAAGAAGAGGAAGAAGAAAGCGCAGTAACTCTTTTTTTTTTTTTTTTGGTTTTTCGAGACAGGGTTTCTCTGTGTAGCTCTGGCTGTCCTGGAACTCACTCTGTAGACCAGGCTGGCCTCGAACTCAGAAATCCACCTGTCTCTGCCTCACAAGTCCTGGGATTAAAGGTGTGCACCACCACTGCCTGCGTAGTAACTCTTGAAGACAAACAGTATATAGGGTAAAGTTATTACAAGTGCAAAACAAAACACCAAAGATTTAATCATAAGGCATGGCCGCACATATCTTTAATGTCAACAATGCATTTGGAAAACTTCTGAGTTCCAGAACAGTCTGGTCTACTTGGCATGTTCCAGGCTACTATTGATGTGAGACCGTTTCAAAAAGGAAGAAGAGAAAGAGGAGCAGGGGAGGGGGAGCAGGGAGGGGGCAGGAAGGCAGAAAGAGGCTTAGTCTCATAGTATCTTGTACAGTTTGAATTTGCTCATAAAATTACATTCTGCCAAAGTGGCAAAGTTTACAAAGCAATCCTCAAGAATTATCAGTTTAAAGTTCAGTTAGGCTAAAGATAACATTTCTGGAATGATTCAAATTCATTAATAATCATAATGTTATATTAAATTCATATTCTTTTTCAATTAAAAAAATAAGAGTGGTACTTGTACCACTGCTCTTCTTATTATTGTAAAAGTAAACACAAGAAATTGGTCTTCTGGGACATAGCAGATTATGTGCCGTAAAGTACATAACGACCATTTTGTTCCTTGGGAATGTTCCTCCTTGAAACCATGGATATCCTAGAGCAGTGGTTCTCAACCTTCCTAATGCTGTGACTCTTTAATACAGCTCCTCATCTTGTGCTGACAATAACCATAAAGTTACTTTTGTTGCTACATATAGCTTTGCCACTGTTAATGAATCGTAGTGTAAATATGTTTTACTATAGAAGTTTGCCAAAGGGATCTTGATCCACAGGTTCTGAACTTCTGCCCGAGATAGTATTACCTCTGCCTGAGAATGTTCTCTCCTGAGGTCAGCTCTCTACCTAAGATCCTGTCATTTCCTTTCTTGGAAACTTGGAGTCAGCACATGATCATTTAGAAAAAAAAATGACATTCTTTGGCTGAGTATTGAAAGTGTATATACATTCTAAATCTCTTTTGGCACATGGCTGTTCAGCAGGAGACACACCCAGCACTCCCAAGAATGCGATGGACACCATTTGCCTTGTTGTTTATGCTGTGCATTCAGGGGCAGGACTTGTTCTTCAGTCCCTATGTCTGTGTACAAGTCTTACTCTTAGAGTACCAAACTCATGAGGTTCACACCCATTCTACTTCAGCATGATCACACCTTAACTTGTACATCTCCAAACACCTTACTTCTAAACAAGGTCTGACTCATTAGGACCCCAGCACATCCTTTTTTGAGGGCTTTGGGGGTGGGAGAACACGACTCTAATCATAACAGTTTTGTTATGATACATGGACTATATCTTACTTAATCTTTTAAGAGTGACTTTGGTTTTTATTTATTTTTACAGTAGGGCCTTGTTCTGTAGCCCAGGCTGACCTTGAATTTTCCTGCCTCAGCTTCCCCAGTGCTTCCCTTGGTCCTGTGGAGGGTTTATAATACATATATACTTCAAACAGACATGTTTTCTATACCTCATGGCCCTTGTATTATTCCTATTGTCACCTTTCAGGGAAATAAATTCATGCTTTCGTTATGTGCTCTTGTGGGATCTGAGAGAGAGGGCATTCTAACCAAAGAAATGGCATCATGAAGTTTAAAGTTTTTCTTATTACCTTTTAAACTTATGTTTAGTGTTTGTATATGTATGTGTAGGTGCCGTGGCACACAAGTCAATGGCAGAGGACGACTTAAGGGAGTTTTCTCTTTCTGCCATGTGGGAATTGGTCTATGCTATCTCCTTTCTGTAGATTTTCTTTCTCACTACAGAAGCTGCCTCAGAGACCAGGCTATAAATCTGGCAGAGCTGAGCTCTCCAGCTCTGTCTTATTCCAAAGAATTTCACTGCCATACATAGCTGTAGTTTTCCCTAGGAATATTCCAGATGACAAATGTCAAAATAATAATTGTATATTAAACCAAATTAAAATTCATATGGGAGAAGAACAGAGTTTTTTCCTTTTTATGAACTACTTTTGAGTTTAGGTTTAAAAAAAGGTTGGACGTTCCTAGATTCCAAGATATATGTATATGTACATGTATATGTATACACACACACCCCTTTCTCTTCTTCCTATATACTTTTTTATTTTAAAGACAGGGTCTCACTCTACAGTCCAGACAGATCTGGAAGTCACTGTAGGGTCTAGGCCTAGAAGCCATGTTCTGTGGTGCCTCTCTTGGTTTCAATATAAGCAAGCAATACTAA